AACTCACAATAAGTTGTGTTAGACAAGAGGCGAGAAGGCGAGAGGAGACAATCCTTTCTACAGCTTCCAACAGACACACTGAATTCATACTCGTCTCTAGGCGAAGCAATGTGAGCACAAGAGAGTCCCAACCACCCAATCGGAATTCACTCTTTTTTCTATCAAGCAAAATTCCATTCGGATTCTTGAACGCGTGACACCCTGCACTGCTATAATTAGCTGTTCGATTGTTAGATGACTGTCACAGGCACATAAACCATCACACTCCAACAGGCGCATTGGCATTACGCATTTAATTAAGCAAATAGCCACACAAAATCGATAATCTAAATTAATATTAATTTATAAAAATCTGAAATCAATATCATGATTAGCTTATTTGTGCAGCACTACAATTCCATCTCTGACAGCATCGTTTTTTTTTTCGAGCTTAATGCTAATCCATATTTTGTAATGTTAAATTTTTCTATAAAATAATCGTTTTATTGTAGATATTTTGGACTTAGAGATGAATGTACATTCCTTCAATAAGTGAGATTACTTCATGCAATTGAATCTTGCATTTTTCATTAACCTTCGATCATTTTTTTTTGTAAATCCGCACAGCTGGCATGAGATTCGCGGTGACGAACGGTTTGACGTCGTTCGATTGTCGCCAGCTGTGGCTCCTTCGAGGGCGCAAAACCAAGGACAGATCGTTCAAAATGTGTAGAGTAATCACGAGGCATGTAATGATTCTGGACTTCGGCAAAAAAAAACAATGTATAGAGTAACCGTGGCAAAATTTGTATTTTGTTTACAAATGAGACACATTTTTGGGTTAAAGAAACCTGAGTTGAAACCAAAATCGGTGACAATTGGGATTACATTCATACAGGTGGCCTCAAATGTGGTCATGCGCCACAATGACTGGAAATGCGGAGCAGAGCAATCCGGTCCTAACGGACGACGCTAAAATGCCGATTAAATTATTAAAGCAGCATAGTAATTCCTTTTTTCGATGATTAAGGAAAAAACAGTTCTCATTTTTTCCTTAATTTTATGAGGCAAGTCAATGCCACTTCAAGGAGTTTAATTTTTTTAGGACGCCACATGAGGCCTATTTTAAGGCCTGTGAGGTGCATTCCTTTTCCACTTTAATGCTTATCACAAAAATATAAATAACTTTTGACGTCAAAAAACAATTACTCTTTACCATCTTTGGAACTTTAATTTAATTGTTGTTTTACTTCTGATGTGAAATGACGCTCCGCGACATTTCAAAGGCTGTTGACGAGTTCTGGAATTTTCTTGTCTTGCCTGCCAAAGCGCTCCTTTCAACTCTGCAGTTGTAAACCATTCTTGTGGGTTATGAAAGCATGGATTATTATAAAAGAGGGTGAAAGAATGGTGTCTTGAATGAGCGCTTAGCAAGGTGGATGCTAGTGGATACTGATGGAGCAGACTGGATGGTATCTGACACAGCCACAACTGGCACCACCACTGAGTGGACCAAAGTCGCACGACTACTTCCTTCCAGACTCCTGGATCCATGCATTTTCAAGGTTGACAACCTTGTTCTTGTGTGCAGACCTCCCTGTTGATCGCAAGCACCCACCAGCCCAGTCCACGCCATGCCTCCCAACCACTTACAGCAGTTAGCAATTAACTTTAAAAGTTGGATGCATTTCCAGTCTTCTCAGTTGAACAATGAGCTAAAAATTTCCTTGCGAGAGTCAGTGAAGATCACTTCACCTCTCATCATGGTTTGTGGGATATAACGGCAGTGGATGCAACAACTTACTACAGAAGGCCAACCCATTTGACCAGGACTGGTCTTCGCACCCCAATGACACACCTAAAGATCTCATTAAAGCCTTTTCGCACGATCCATCAGCCTGTTCAGTTCTCGGTGATTGACGCAAACCTACTAAAAGCATTAATTTTGCATCACAGTAGAGCACAATCCCATCAGAGCAGGAACAATTCGACTTGAATGAACTCCTCGCCACTCCGATTCACACTGTATGCCAATCCCATATGCCTGAGTAGGACAAAAATGAAAGTTTCTTCTAAAAAAATCATTTTACTCATCTGCTTATACACAAATGAACATATATAATAACGCCTAGGGTTTTGTGAACTATTATACAATAACTGCACACGAATTAGTCTGGGTTGCGTCTAAAACGGATACGAGGATGTGGAAGCGCCCGTGTTGCAGCCAAACCACGGCGTTCGGTGTACCTATAAAAAGACCAACAAGGTAGTTTTTTTTAAAAAAAGATCCACTGAATGGAGTAATAGAAGGCGTAATATCGCAGCTCACATTGAGGATTCACAACTCCTTTGAGGAGACGACTTAAGCATATCGTCGCACTTTCTGACATTACGTCGTTGTTTCCTCATTGATTGCTGCCGCAGTCTCACTTGTGTCCAAGTTTTGCGCATTTTGAGCCTCCTTCTCAATTTCGATTGCAGTGGTGGTCGGTACTGTTGCCGACACATCTGCTGTTGCTGCTGCTGCTGCTGCCGCTGCTACTGCTTCATCCTTATCCACAGTTTCGCTCCAATCCATCTTCTCTTCACTTTCAGTTGAATTTGATTCTGCCGTCTCCGGCAAAAGGTTTCCCGTCACATCTGGTTTATTCATTGGGATAACCTGTTCTGCCAGAATTCGCATCAGAAAGGGCATAAAATCACCCATTGCACCACCTTTTTCCAACCCTAGAGGTGGCAAAATTGGCGTTGTTCGATAAAAATAGGGATCAACCAAGTCCTCGCCTTTGTCCACACCTCCAACCACGCTACCACCGGTGCCACTTGCTGCATTACCACCGCCTTCATGGAATTCGGTGTGCTGTCTCATCTTACTCACTCGAACAAATGAGTATCCACATCGTGGCCGAAGGCAATGATAATGTGCGGTGTCTCTTTTTGCGTAGCATGCTGGACGTCGACAGTCGATAGACCTATCGAAGTACTCGTATCCCGGTTCAATCATTATATAGGCGTGGAACTCTCGTCGATGTGAATTAGCAACTGCCAAATTGCTTGTAGCTAGGTGACAGCGAGGTCGTATGCAATGGAAGTGACTCTGTTTTGTGATGTAAAAGGGACAGCAACGATCCACGCAGGACGGACCCTCAGCAGGAAAGAACTTGAGACCCCCGACAATCATATCCGTTTTGGCTAAAAAATCGTCCATTGTAAGAATGGCATTGGGATGATCGTCTACACATCTCTCCGGTGAGATATCCAATCGAGGAATATGAATGTCCCGGGAGTGCTTCGGAGGACGTCCACGCTTTCTCTGTGCCGCACCACCCATCTCCGAGGGTAAAGAGGTGGGTTGTTCTTTCACCTGATACATCATTGTCCCGAAGTGTTGGTTATGCCTTGTCAGATGTCGCATTAGTCTTGGAGGAGATGCAGCACCAATGTCTACAGTATAATCACACATCGGCCAAAAATAGCAGTGCAAATGTGACTTTGATTCACTTTCACTGGATTTACAAGTTTCACCACTGCAGCGAGTGAAGCCGATAATGCTGAGAGCGGATTGCCAAGCGTGTATGAACCAGTGCTCGCGCCAAGAGTCCATATCTCCACTGGAAATGGTTGCAGTCTCCTCAGGTGCAGTAATTCTATCATCTGGATCCATCTCGACCGTGTCCATACATCCAGTGCGAAAACAGTGGAAGTGATCAATACCTGTTCCATGGAGGGAGCACTGCTCGTTGTTGCAGGAAGGATCATTTTTGAAGAGCTTGAGGGATGGAAGAACTACTTTTAGCACTTGTTCCACAAGTTGTGCATCCTCGCTGTCTGAAGGTGGAGTGGAGGCGATGGGATTCTGAAACCTCTGCCAACAAAATTCAGTGATTCTTGAGGCTCGTTGGAGAAGTTTTGCAGTTGAGCTGAGATCTTGTGGATCCGATATCGGTGATAAGGATTGTGGAGGTGAGGGCTTAGGAGTGGTTGTGGCCGATGTTGCGGCTGTGATTGCGCTTGCTGTGATGTTGGGAGTACTCGAGTTGGCACTGTTGCTACTTTCACAGCTTAGAGGTAATACCTGTTGATTTTGGGATGCCATTGGGCAAGGGAAGTTTATGGATTCTCGCCGTTCATGCTTGCGTTTGTGCGATGAAATCTGGCTTGTTGAATGAACAATGTAATCGCAACCTTAAAATACAATAAAATCCCTGTTACTATCGATTAATGCTGGTGAACAAATGGACAAAATGGCAATTGTTATAGAGGGTCGGTAAAATGAATACCTGGTCGAATGCAGTGAATGTGATTGACTAGGCCTGAATACTTGCAACCAATGAAATTGCAGTTTTCAGACTTTGTAAACTTTCGAAAACCATCCTTGGCGATCGCATCGTTCTTTAAGTGGTGGTTTTTGTGCTTTTCTAAAGAGTCGTTCACAAAAATGGGAATTGCTTTGAGAGTAAATACAGACGTGCTATCGACAGCTAGTATCAAAATAACTTGCTACTGAAATAACATCAGTAGACCATTACCCATGTCGGCTTTGTTCTTAAACGTGAAGCTGCATCCGGGACGTCGACAATGGAAGTGAGTTGTGTGCTCTCTAGCAAAGGGACAATCACTGCTACCACAATCTTCTGCAGCTCGGAATCTTCGGAAGCCCTCTTGCAGTATCACCGCGTCTTTTCTGTGGTAATTGGCATGCATTTGGACATCTGAGGTACTTATGTAGGTCTAAGGAGTAAATAAAAGCAAAGATTACTCTGCGATTTGCAACAGGCGGCATAGAGTTTCCAAGGTAATAGGCAGCTACTATTGTTAGCTTATTTTGTTCAAAATTCTATTTGTTAAGGCACATGAAATGGTGAGGATTTAGACTCGATACGCCTCTATCAACCAAACAAGTAGGAAGGGCAAAAAAATTGTCCCAGACAAAAATTATCTTCCAAAGGAATGAAGTTGTTTAATATTAACTATCCAGAATGGTCCCGTCTACCAACAAAATTTTTTATTTTGACAGCCTTTTTGGAGTCAAGAGAACGTAAACTTCGACAAATAGTAGCTGAAGTGCTTAAGCAAAACCCCAACTTCCATGTGTTCTGATCCAACTTTGCTCTGTGGACATCGGTTGACCATCGCAAAGACTGTACGAGCATGCAAGATTGTTTCCTGTTCGCATCTCAAAGTCCCGTTTGACATCTATGCGTGCCTCAGAGATGCAGGAACGGAAGGATCAAAACAGATGTGACAAGAATCTGAAGATGCTAAAGCGGCGGCTGCAGTTAATTGACACAAGCCATTCAAGTGCCGAAATTTTAATATTGACGCTGATGCCGATGATGATAGCAATGTTTTTAAGTTGTCATAACGACGGCTTGTTTAATAACATTTGGCATGCGTTTGCACGAGCGCCTGCGACACGTAAGTCGCAGGTGTACGCAAGTACCTGATTAAATTGCCAATGTGCACAAAAATGTCAAAATTTGTGCCTAAGCCACAGGCCTGCTACCGCAGTCAGGTAAACCTCCAAGTGCAGGCACACAAGCATGACTGAACTTTCAAACTGGACACATGAAAAAAGACATAATCACAAGGCCTGTGTTTGACGCCATTCTGTGGTGCCAGATTGGCATTGCATCCTGAATGTACTCTCTATTACCTCGCTTCATTCACCTAGGGTACACAATCACTCACTCGTGTGCTACAAGATGGGAGCATTCAATGGACAAAGGTTTGCTGGAAGTTTTAACCTTCCCCTTTTACGATACCATGGTGATTGCTTCATGTCGGTGTATTTATGGAGGCAGGAAGCCAACGGGAACCCAAGGAACAAGACAAAACGGAAGAGGGGACGTCAAAATTGCTTCAACTTTTAGTCGGCATTTTTTATGGTGCCTTCGATGAGACGGCTGGTAATGAGTTGACTCTCCACTTTGGAGAATTGAAAACATATGCAAAAAAAGATTCTTTTTGGATATAAGAGTGATTCAGACATGTGGCTGGTGAGTTCTGAAAGGCTGAGGAGGAAGAAAAATGACTTTATCTGTGAAAAGGCATTCTATACAAGCATCAAATGGTCCAAGAGCGAGGAGCTGAAGCACTAAATTTACTCGTCGGGATTCATTGACCAGGTCAAATAATTTCTACCGCAGTACACATCCTAAAGGTGAAGGTCCTTTAAGATCACTAAGCCTTGTGGAAACTGATGGGCCGCTTACGCGGACTTAAAGCCAATGCATGACCTTTTATCCTTCTCCGCTGAAGCCATACTTAAACGGGCACAAATTGAAAAAAAGTGCTACAAAGGGTGGCTAAAATGGAGAGTCCTGCAACAGAAGTGGCTTAAGCTGGACCTCGGAGTCCCGAAAATAAAGTTATTTCCTTCGATTTGTAGATGGATGAATGGATGAAGCGAGAGTCCTAAGTGGAACTGTGATGACCCAGGGCATAAAGCTGGGACCTTCCTCACCTTTGAGCAATTGGCACGAATGCAATGATAGTGGGTTTGTTTCATGTTGTGGCTGCAGTGATTGTAGCCGCAGTTATCACTTGAGCTGTAGCGCATAAATCCGTACTGCAGGCTCTCCATCCGCTTTCTGTGCCACTTCACATGTCGAATGGTCTCTTCCCTCCGATTAATCACCTTGAGTGCAAAAATAGCAGCAATTTTTACATTAATGATGTTTAATGAAATTACATTTGCAAACGCTTTTAGGTGAGAGCCATTTCTACGCCCTTAACTGTTGGACATCTTAAAACTCGGTAAGTCTGACTTTAAAGTACAATTGATGAAGTTTTGAAAACACGAAAATCGTCACCGATTGATATCGTGGCAATTTGTTTTATGCGTGCGTACACAATAACCGAAATGTGATGCAATTCGGTGCATACTATCCAACAGTCAAGTTTGAAGTTTACGTCATCAAACTAGCCATTCAGCAACCACACCTTTAATGAGGAAAATAGGAAGAAAAAATATATTAGGAGGATAGATGTCGATCGCCTCGTTTGCTGCGTTTTCAGTGGGCACTTTTACTATGTTTCTCGGTGGTCAAATGGAGGGTCAAGGCAGTTTAATATAGGCAACAGCTGTTATGATTTTTTCGGACTTGTGCAGATAGTAGTTTGTCCTGGAAAGGGGAACGTCAGTTCCGGAGAACGCGTGCATACATACACAATTACGGTGAAATGTCCTTTTCCCAAATACACAGGGACAAAAATACCCGTCGCCGTGACGACGAGGTCAGCGGAAAGTGACCTTTGTAATTACCTTGTTACCTTTCCTTGTTTTGCTTATGAATTAATAGGTTAAGTAGATGGCATTATGGAAAGTTACTTAGCTCTCCATATCTCGCGCTGGAAAAAATACTGGAGGAGGTATGAATAACCAAAAAAATTTCCACATTGCGTGGGGGTTTTGATCAAATTTTGCGGCAATGTCTAATGGAGAAAAAGATGTGATTATAAAATGCCGTTACAACAATGACAAAGCCACATCTAATGGCAAATTGCTTATAATGTGATAAAAAAACCCATCAAAATCCTCAAAACTGAAGTAAAACGAATTACTAGGGGGAGGAAACAATATCAAAATATTATTTCTATCCACTCTAGCGATTAATTCCATTTACTTGAATCACTCTTCAACACGTAAGTATTCCAAAGGAACCCAACAAAATAAAAACGTGTAAAGTTGTTAGAGTGACGAAAAAATAGCCTGTATACTTGACAAACGAAAAAATCCGTAGTTCACTGGAAATAAACAACTTATGTATTTCTCGATACACCGACATTGACCACCCAGCTCTGTCTCATCATTCTTTAGGTTCAAATGCTTCAGATGAAATGGAATTCATGCATTTACTGAGCTATTTAGCAGCATTTATTTATTTTGCTTTGCTGTTTCGAAACTAGAAAAGACGCCCAGAAACGCCAATCCCCATGCATTTCAAATGTTTGCCCAATTTCGACAGAATTCGTTTGACATTGACATCTGTTGTAGCCTAACACAATACAATATGTGGTGGTTTGTAATGAGGCTTTGCTACTTATCATACATTAAGCATTTTAAATGCTTCATTTCTTCGATATTCTTTGACACCCTCGCTTACATATTCCTAAAACTCTTTGTGATTTATTTGCCTTGTCAACATTTGGGCATTTTGTGTGAATTATATGAATGGAGACTTCTCTTGCATAGCATGCTAATTTTGATTACTACCACTTTCTTAAACTTAATTTGGCATCTTAATAAATTTCAATGCGCATCCAAACGTTCATTTGATCAAAAACCTTTCCTGAATGCGTAGGAAAAAATTCTGCACTCTTGACCCAGTTTTTTTGGCACTGACTTAAAATCTTCGCCAACGAGGCCAATACTTGCCTGGGAATGGCTGCATCAGTTTCCCGCATAAAATCTCTTAAATGCTACGAGAATACAACTTTCTTACTCCTCCATAGACCATATAAGTAAATATTAATTTGGGTACACTTAAAGAAAATAATAAAGGATCTACTTTGTAGCACTCAGTGCAATGGAAGTGTTCCTTTAGTCCTGCTGTTCTACACTGAGCATTCCCGCATTCGTGGAAGGAGGAGAATTTCTTCAAGAAATCCTTGTGGTCAAACGACACCGAACTCCTGGAGTACATGTCGAGAAAGGGAAGGCATTCGAGGGAGTGGAAGGCTAAAAACAGAAGCGGCAAGTAGATACGACTACAGATTGCGTTCGAATGTGTAAAATTGTGATCCTACCAACGTTTTTTAAAATAAATACCAAAATACAAGGCTTTTTGATTCAATTTTTTTCTGATCATCAGAAAGGATAGGACAGCAAAATGACGACCACAGTTATGTGACTGGTTAAGGTGCTGATACGCACATTAATCAACTTTGCCAAGAGTTGGAATTTTCACATAAAATAAATTGTACAGTGACAATGTTTATATTGAGAACTTTTGTTCTGAACAAGCGTTGTTTTATGCAATTAAAACAGTCCTTTCTTGGTATAATGCCTAAACACTCATCAAGTGCTGTCTCCTCCCGCAGTGTCATGCTCCAACACATCTAGTGAAAGCCAATTTTTCACTTTATACCGCCACACATTCACACTTAAACTCAGTCAAAGATGGCGAATAAATTTGAATTTTGATACATCACAATGGCTGTGGTATTGCAAATGAGTGCAGATTTAGTGAAAGAATTTCACTGCTGACAAAACTCAATACCGATGATTGGGTCTCAACCCACCTTGCTACGTATCACTGGTGCAAAATATTTGTTTTCAACACTCTCCCTTGCCAGATTTGCATAAGCATTTGACATTGGTCGTCTGGGTCACACTGCCCCCCACATGTAACCGCCTTAAGTCTAGTGTGTTAACCGTCTTACCACCAGCTGCCCTGTGGAAAACCGATTGTCCAGAGCTCAGCATTTAATGCATAAGAATGCCATCATTTTTCCTCACCATCCTCGGCGTGACAGCATCAAATCCCATCTTTTGCTGTCGCAAGCTTAGCCATTGTGTTTGCGCCACTGGATTTGGTGGTTCAACAACAACCACCGCCAATAGGGTAGGCAAGTATGCCGCACATTTCTGGCGTGTTGCTTGAGTGAAGAAACAGAAAGTTTTAAATTAGAGCGTACCATTCACAGAACTTCGGGGCACCAAATGGGGGTTGAAAGGCGTCTTCACCTGGGATGCGTTTGCGCCTAACGTGAGTAATGCCTCGGAGATGGGACAGTGAGAAGTCTGGAGGATTGCTTGGACCGAGAGATCAATCGCATTTGCACCGCCATCTTTTGTGGTCTGGCCATTGGTCGCCAGAGGGGGCATCATGAGAGGCACAAAAGCGGGAATTGGACCGGTGCCCAAGGGAACTACAATGGAATAAAATAAGGGAAAAGAAATGTCTTTCCACCTCAGTGTGCGTGATTTGGTTACTTGCCTGCTTGTCTGCGTGCGTGATCATTATTGTCCTTTTTAATGACTGCCCCACACAAGCTTGAGTTAGTGTGACGCCCAGCAGGAAGAAAGAAGGTATTTAAATGTGACGTGTATGTATAATTCAGGCTTTTGGAGTGTCTTACCGCCTTTTGCCTTCTCAGTGTCCCCCTTCCTCTGCCTCCACGTCTAACACGCGATTTTGAATAGTCCAATATTATTGCCATAGCGACGTGGTGTTAAAGAGAGTATTGTGTGATAGTGGAGAGCATAATTGTCAGGTTTTCGGTAAATAATTTACGAGCTTAACGCCCCTTTCTTGTCTTCCTTGTCACAAAGCGCACGCGTCTACGTGTATTTTATATCATCCCAAAAGGCAATGGCTACAACGCACACATACACCCCAAAATGAATTGGCTACACAGCCCCGTGATTACACCCTATTGTTACCGACGATGTGAGGCTTCTTTCGATTTCATTTTTTCCCGTCTGTTGCCTCCTCCTCAGCTCTTCAGTCTCGCCGTTGTGATAATCTCACCCACCGCTACTGACGCATTCCACAGGTGCGGCTTCGGGTCTCCCGACTGACGACGATTGTCACCGGAACGGGGTGTAACACTTTCATTCATCATGATAAGTAAGGTTGCGCTGCATCTCAAGTTGCGGACGAATCGGATGTTTGTATTATGCCATTCTGACATAAGATGTTTCCACAGCTTTTACAACAATACAATCACTCGAATTATTGCCAGTAATTAGTGACTAACTGGAGCACGAAAACAATCAACTTGTACAACAAAACGACTTATTCCAGTGCAGTTTTAACTGGATTTAAATGAGACCAGCAACTCACTAGCACCCAATTACTAAGCATTTCATATGTCAAAAGAAACACACACATTAAGGGTAGAAGTCTAGGCTGAGGGAGGAGGACTGGATGCAAACAATTCCTTCAATCTGGATAAATAAGTCACCTGAGGTCCTTTACTTCCTGTTTATGGAGGCATGTCAATCAATTTGGTCATGCATAAATCGATCGTGGGCTTGGCTGAACCCGTCCGCAGGAATTGCAAAAAGTAAACGTCAAGACAGTAATGACGACAATTGCCAAATTCGTATAATAATAGGAGTGCTGTCAGGGCACTAGATGGCCTTTGCCTACGCCGTCCCTCCTCCCCAATTCAAGCGTTCACTCATCTGACCCTCCTTTTGAGGGAAACTTCTGCCTTAATCCAAAATCACTAACACCTGCAGGTCGTTTAGGCGGTGCTGATGATAACTTCAAGTCGTTAAAGGGGATGGCAAGACTTGCCTTCACCTACACTCGTGCAAGGCGCAATAATCTTACTTCATCACTGAGGAATAGGATTTACTAGGCCTTCTCTCTTTGTACTCCTCTCGTTTCTGTACTGCACAAAAAAACCCACACACATGAATGAAGGAAAGCAGTCTCTTCCATGCAGAAAGAGGTTAATCAATTGTGGCCGGATTTGAGAGTAGGCAAGTTAACAATTGTCCGATTTGGTGTATTTTGTTGAAGCCGGAAGTAATAACCACTACCGGA